ACTTAGTAGAATTGTCAGCTAAAATCAGTGAGTGGTGAGGAACTTCTTGTAAGTGCTGGCAAGGGTGTTTTTTTTTTTTTTTTTAAAGATTTATTTATTTGGAAGGCAGAGTTACAGAGAGGCAGAGGGAGAGAGAGAGAGAGAGAGAGAGAGAGAGAGAGTTTTCCATTCGCTGGTTTACTCCCCAGATGGTCACAATGGCTGGAGCTGTGTCGATCCAAAGCCAGGAGCCAGGAGCTTCTTCCGGGTCTCCCACGCAGGTACAGGGGCCCAAGGACTTGGGCCATCTTCTACTGCCTTCCCAGGCCATCGCAGAGAGCTGCATCAGCAGTGGAGCAGCTGAGACTTGAACCCACTGCCCCATGGGATGCTCGCACTGCAGGTGGTGGCTTTACCCTCTCACCACAGTGCTGGTCCCATGGGTGTTTTTGCATGTCATCGTCCCACAGGAAGGTCTCTGCTGTTTCTCAAGACAAATTCAGTTTGGTTACCAGCTCTCTCTTCTTTTGAGTGTGCCTTCAGGAAGAGCACAGGAGCCCCAGAGCCTTTGTCTCTACAGACCAGCAGTTAAAACCCGATGGCTAGTGCCTGGGCCATATCCAGCCAGCAGGCATTATGTTTGACTGGCGTGGGTTTAAAATAATGTGAGTCAGTTGCCAAAAATTAAGAGTCAGGAGATTTTCTTGTAACAAGAAATCTGAATTTTGGCTCAGCTTAAAAGAAGACTAAGTTTTGGCAACACCGGGCCTGGTTTCCCGCATGGCAATTGCTCTGGGGGTAGTGACTGCCAGTTTACAACGACCCAGGCTGGCTCCTATAGCATCCTTTCTCTTTGCGGGGCTTAGGAAAAGGCACCATCTCCAGGCAGGTGAATTATAGGGGTGCCCCGTCGGAGAGCACAGAACTCAGGCGCATTGGCTTTGCCACATTCGCTGCCATCTCCTTGAGCCATTTTACTGATGTCTGAGCCCCTCTGGCCTTTGAGTTTGTGACCAGTGCCAAAGCTCTGTGAGGGAGTTGCTGCCTGGTGCATGTATCTTGAAGGGCAATGACTGGTCTAGAGGGTTTTCTTTGATTTCTTGCCCACTGGAGACAGAGTTAACAGCGTTAGTTTGACAAAGCTCCTGCTTTTTCTAAGTACGCTGCTTCATGATTCTGCAGTAATAATATTCCTAGGCTAGGCTCCATACCCCTGCGGTTCACCTCACTTCCTGAAATGCCAATTCCTCTTGCCTACACCCACCCCATGCTGATTTGCCATTTGCTCTTTTTCTCAGCCTATAAGATGTGTCCAAGCAGAATAGATCAATTTCTCTAGTGTGACACAGGGATGTGACTCCTTTAACATCAAGGGCTTGAGGCAGACTTCATGAGCCATCTTTGAATGAGCTGATTTCAGTATCTATCTCTCTTGACAGCTTGCTCTTATTAAACCCTACCCCAAAGTGCACCTCGCAGCTACCGATAATGCACGATGCCACGGAGCTGAGGAGCCCCTCTGTGGCCTTAGCAGATCTGAATAATAGTTTCTCCGTGGCTCACTGAGACCCATGAGCTGTGTTTTGAAGCATCGGGATGCCAATCGCCAGCATCATTTACAAAGTGCAGCTGCGTGTGATGCTGCATGAGGGGTGATGAAATGCGTGTAGTACTACTCCTATGAGAGCTCACACAGTGAGTCATAACTAAGCACACTTGCATGATAATTGGGTGGTAGCATGGATTTCCAATTGGGAGTGCACATTGGCCCTGCCCCTCACTGATTATGTGAACTTAGACAAAGTCACTTGACTCTGTGCCCCTTCAAGGACAAATAGTTAACTTATGACATAGTGAGCGAGTCCTCGTAACAGCAGAAGGTTAAAATGAGGAAACAGTAGCACCTTCGTTATAGAACTTCGAATGATTATGTGAGATAAGGCGTGCGTCTAGCCTGGGGTAGCCACACAGCCTGGCTGGCCATTGGAGCACCCAGTCTGGCAAAAAGGAAGCTGGCACCATGATTGTTTCCCTTTTTCCATGCTAGTGTCTTCGTGCTTTCAGCACTAAGAATTTTGGCAAATAGGAAGGGCTAAAGGTTACTTTGCTCAACTAATACTCAAACAAATTGATTTTCACAGTGCAAAGTATATAAATATGTGAACACCCAGCTGTTTTGCTAAAGGTGTTATTTCTTACTTGCGGCAGTTTATGTGGTGAGTTAAAAATAATGTTAGAGTTTAAAATATTGTGGGATAATGCAATGGTTAAAACGAAAATGAGACTATTTTCAATAAAGCGAGGGACTGCCTGTTCCCTTTAGGAATGAGGTCTTGGCTGCAGAGGTCTTTATCTACACACACAGATCAAGCAGACACAAAGGTCACAATGCCAATTTCATCTGAAACTTGCTTTGCAGTGCCAGGATCTTGGTTTTTAGGAAAAGACTTGTGGTTGCTATGGAACCATTAATAATGCTCCTGCCTGTACCTCAATTGTTCATACGTCCAATTTCCAATACAAAATCACTTAGATTTGGGCTTCAGGGCAGTAAACAAACTTTCGAGCAGGAATTAACTGGGTTTGGGCATTAGTGTCTTAATGTAGGAAATGACTTTCCTTATAACCTTTACTTACACTGGCAGCTTGGTTCTGTCAAAGGAGCTTCTAGTTTCCTGACAGCAGGCTAAACACCACGAGACTCAAACTTCGCTCTTCTAGATGGACACTGCTAAAAGCAGAAATGTGGATTTCTCATCATACAAGAAATATCAATAAAAATTCTTTGTTTGGTCTTAGTATGGATCTTTTATTTTAATGTATAAAAGAACCAGTAACTTATCCATATACTACATTCCTAAGTGGAAAGAGGAAAATACGACTGTTGAAACACATATCTATGTATTTTTAAAATAAATCTTATAGAGAAATGACAATTTTGCCATTTTTCTATGAGATTTGTGCTCTGTGTAAAAGCTGCTTCTCACTTCTGAATTCTATTTTTAAGATATGGATCTCAGTCCTTATTAATGCACAACTGATCTTTGGGGGAGAACTAATTCAGCTCTTGTGCCCCAGGCACATAAACAATGGGACACTGGATGGGTGGGAGGAAAACATATCTAATCTGGGGACTCACCGGTATGCAAAGACTTCAACAATAATACAGAATAAATAGTTTCCATTTCCACAACTGCTACTCTGTCTAATCCCTACAGTATGTGTTTTCCAACAATTATCTGTTCAATATTCTGTTTTGTTGCTTAGGATTTTAATGCTTGAGGATCGTGTGACTGGCAGTAAAACTTCAAAAGATGCCCGAGCACAGTTTTCCACTGACACGCAACGAGTTTATAGGAACAAATGAAAAGAGCATTTTTGAAGAGGAAGTGTAGACATTATGTTAGCTCTGGGTCTCCCAGCCCCTCCGCTGTGAGAAGTGACAGCAGCTCTGCGGAGGCTGGACAGGCATGCTCTGGGCCTGATTGAAATGAAGTCTTCTACCAAGTTCACGGTGCTGCAGAAGATGAAGGCTTATGAGCAGGAAGAAACTGAATGTACAGCTCGATGTGTTCCCATTCGCAGGACCCTTTAAGGTATCATCAGGTCTGGTACAATGCAATAAAAATGCAGATGGAACTATCAGATTCATCAAGTTGCTACAACAAATTCAGATGCTCCCCAGAGCTGGCAAAGTGATGTCAAGAAAGTTAAACTTGAAGAATGAGACTTGGAGTTCTAAATGAGATCAGGAGAAGAAGAATACACAGTTAATAGGGGAAATCAAGACCGAGACAATCAACATTATTGCTACATTTGGAGGAGAGTTTAAAAATCAATTTGTTTGGCTTGTTCTAAAATTGTTCTGCCAAAAACCTGACAAGATTATGTATTTTTGTGTTTTTTTAATTTATTTAATCTTGAGTACAGCCATTGTTAGTGCAACAAGCTAATATTTTGGGATACATTATTGCAAGAATAAGGACATGACTAAATAAGTTATGCCATTAACACACTTGTTAATCCTATCCCTTTTATTAAAGAAAAAACAATTTGCTAATATTGTCTAGGATTACCTTCATTTGTAAGATTACTTACTGTTGTACACACTAATGGTAGGTAACTGGATCCCTGGGTCAACTGTCCTTAAACTAAAATTTAGTAAAACATTAGCATTTTGCAACTGAAAATATAGACTTTTTTAGTACAATGTTAGGCAGCAGTAAAATTACTCTGAATAAATGTGCATTTATATGTAAAACACTAGCATGCTTTAAGAAGTTCAAAAACATATTAGTGTTGTGTGAAAAGAATATACAAATAAAATATGACATGGAATGAAATTATCATTATGTACAAAAAAGAAAAATAGCATCCCTCCCTTCCCTTCCCAAACTTACAGATGTTAACACCTTAAAAACCTACATCACATCATTTGGGATTTAAGGGGTTATTGTTATTTCAATATGGAAAACATTCCATTAAAGAAAAGTGTGATCCAACTTCCTAAAAAAAGCAGCACATAAGAATTAGTTTTTGAAAATTTATATTCATTCTTGTGTTAAAGAGATGATATCCTTTTGAATTTACTTACAAAATATTTGTAATACCTTTTATTTAAAAATATGTGTAATGTCTTTTATCAGCTTTAACACTGTAAAATGTTTGTTATTTTATTTGAAAATATTATAAGAAAAAGGTTATTGTGAAGGTATAACATACTATTCCAGGACATATGAACTATCTTTAATATTATTATTTAAGGAGTGAAACAGTAAAACTAGCATTCTTTTAAGGGAATAACTTGTTTCTTTGTCTTCATTCTCCCTGGCATTCTGTGTTCCCTGTTTCTCTTATTTCCCAATTTGCCATTGCTCATTCTCTAACTGCCTTGACTTTACCTACAAACCTTACACCCTTAGCTGAAATGGTGCTATTAAGTGAATAACCAACTCAACATTCTCATCTATCTTTCGACCATGCTTTCTTCTTAAACCATACAGTTATGCCTTTAGTGTACATATTTATGTATGTCATATATCACACACTTAAAGAATAAAAGCTGGATTCATAGAGCACGGTAGACGTTCAAAATATTACTGGTATACTATTCAGCATGCTGATTGAGTGACCAAACTATGAGTCACGCTGCACGACTGCTATCTTAACTAGCCTCTCGTTTTTCTGACAAAGCCAAATGGGGTCAGTGTTTTCCAAATGCTTCACTGCTTCCAGGAATCTTGGAGAGAATCTACAGAAGAAGAACCTACGAGCGGATGAGAAGGGGAGCCCGGGACAGACTGTTTTCATGGGATGTGCATGTGGCTACTTCGTGGTGAGCTGCCGCCTGCAGGGTAACACGGTGGTGAGCGAGCTGCGCTGGAAGTGTGGAGGGGCGTGGGTCTAGGCTCTGGCCGCCCCCGTGACCACGAGCCGGGGCTGGGCACCAGGGGCTGGGCCTTCAGGCGGTCTGGTCCACCTGCAGCACAGCAGGCTGCACGGGCTCCTGCTCTGAGCGCTCGGGGTCCTCGGAGATTCGCATGTAGCTACCCTCGTAGTGCGCCTTCTGCGCCTGTTCCAGGGCCACGGACTCCTCCTCTTCATCTTCCAGAATCGTCAAGTCGACGTTGCTGTTCATCCCCGAATTGCTCCCTCCCAGGGCCGCCTTCTCCGCATCCCCTTCTGCGTGCTCCCCTTCGAGCAGCGGGCTGGGGAGGGATGCCTCGGAGAGAGCCTCGGCGAAGCTCTCCTCGTGGTCGTTGGCCGTCTGATCGGCGCTGGGCGCCTCTTCCGACTTGGTCTCATTCTCCGCAGGGCTCTCTCCCTCTCGGACTTTCTTTCGCCCGAAGGACAGGGGCGAGACCTTGAAGGGGGAGCTTTTCCCGGAGGACGTTTTCTGGTGGTTGGAGGTGAGGGATTTCTTAATCTTCTCTCTCCTCTCCACAGACACGATCTTTGTCCCCAGCTTGTTCATTTTTTTCTCGATGTTCTGGCGAGAAAATGCTTTCTTGAGGCTGTCTACTTTCCTGAGGCTGGATCTTTTTATTTTCTCTGCCCTGCTTTCTTCCATCTTTTCGTCGGCGCTGTCTTCCAGGGCCTCCTGGTCGTGGGGCAATTCGTCCTCGGAGGAGAGGTCCACCGTGTGCAAGGTTTCCTCCAGGGACTTGTTTTCATCGGCAGGCTCCTCCTGGCCTTCCGCCGTGCTGGCGACGGGCTCTTTCACAAACACACTGGCGGGGATCTCATTTTCTTCCTGAAGGGATGGACAAACAGCGGTAGGGTTCATGTTAGTAACGCATTTCACCACTAGTCCTGAAAGGGCTGTTAATTCTGGTTGTCTGTGCTTTGCGGGGGACAGGGAGGCGATAGAAACCGAACATGTGTGGCTTCGGTGTTCGCAAAGAGGAAGGAAGAGTTAATTCTAAATTGGTCAAGTCATCCGCCTAGGGCTGGATAAGGCCAAGGGCTGCCTATTGGGAATATCAGGAGAGCAGCTGGCAAATGCTCTATCAGTGGCAGGCAGGGGGAAGTGGGCGGTGACTCAGATCAGGAAGCTGCCTAGATAAAGGAGCTAAAGTAAGTCAGTGTGCTCTGAACCCAGAGGTCCTCTCTCTCCTCCCCTCCTTTGAGGTCAGAGGGCTCCGCTCCTGCCAAAATCCTATGGCAGAAGAGCCTGAAGCTCACACAGGAAGATGAAAAATGAGGCTGTGTGGAAGGGACTGAAAAAAATCAAGTGTAGACATCATGCATAGCCTTAATGAGGTTGCCTCCCCGATCAGATGTCAGAATCTGTTCACCGGTTTTGCAGATGATAGTTGAGAGTAAGAGAAGCAAAGGGAGCCATCCTGGGGACCCACTCAGGAAGCCTTGTGGTTTAGGATATCCTTCGTGGGAGTTGGGAGTTAATAAGGGGAAGGGAGATAGTAAGGTCATTTTTAGAGTAGCTTATCAAGTCTTTATTGTTCGACAGAGCCTCTTTGGGCCAAAACATTGTGGTTCCCACCTCTAGCCAAGAGCGAGGAGAGTCTTAGGAAGTTGCTTCACCTTCCCCAACCTTTTTCCCAGCACATCAGGCCCCCCATTCCCACCCTCACCCCCAGGTTGTAGACACACAGGCAGAGGCAGCCCCTTGCACTTGTCCCAGGGAGCAGAGCCCGAGCACTGTGTCCACTGTGCAAGGGGGGATAGTGCTATAATATGGCTCACTGGGGAGATTTGAATCCAGACAGACTTGGGCCACACAGCAGAAGGACCCATTTGATTTTGATGCTTTTCTTAAGTATTGGAAATTGAGAGCCAGTCAATAAGGCACCTTCACATTTTCGCTGAAGAAGGCACCCTGGTATTGTTGAATGCACAGCAGGAGGCCCGAGTCGCAGTCTCCACTGTGCTACTAAATGGCTGTGCCGCTTTCTGCAAATAACTTAATCTCCTTGGGTCTCAGTTTCTTCCAAATATGAACAAGAGGATTTGACCTAGATTAGCAGCTTTCCAACTGCACACCCGGGGCCACCAGGGTTCTGCCGGCATGCCAGAGGGGACCAAGGCTCCAGATCCACACCCCCACCCCAAACCCCCACCACTCCTGCTACAGTCAGCCCTGATCTTACCTGATTATATCTTGAGCTGCCCAGTAAGCTTAAAAATTAACTGGATTCAGGGCATTTAAAAGTCTGGGTTTTAAGCTTCATGCAAAGTTTACGTTAATGGTAAGAACGTCCCTTCTGGTTTGTACAATTTTGACCGACTGAAAAGTCAATAAAATTGGGTTGTGATAGAAAACCTGCTTTAAGAGTGACTGCAAATTTTTAGCTTCTTGATACAAAGACGAAATGCTTAAAAATACCTCTCTTCACTAACCACTCAGTGGCATCAATTATAGTATTTTTTGAAAGGATACAGCCCTGTGTCTCCCCTCACCCATCTCCCATTAATTGGTCAGAAATAAAGGATAAAATCTTTGGTAGAGGTAAAAAAGCAGAACGTCTGGCTAAATACAATCCTTGCTGGAGTGAAGATAGCGCCAATTCTGTCTCCAAATCTCTCTGCACATCTTTTCATTTTGAATGTCATAGGAAGTGTCCGGCGCCCAGTATGAAAGACCAAGTGCAGCACTGAAAGGCATATAGGGCTGCCACGAGTTGTTTATAATGAGGAATTTTGCAGAGAGCAGCTTTCCCGTGTTTCAGGCGGAAGTTGCCTCTGTGGCACTGGAATGGACTCCCCATGCGGGTGGGTATTTTTGTCTTCCGTATACCGCTGTCTCCCAGCTCGCAGCACTCTGCAGCTCCTGGGTAAATGGGTGCATACTAGGTAAGGCAGATTTCATGGATGCTCTGGGAGGTGGCTGGGGTGGAGACTGTCCCTTCATTGGGCGTATTTGAAGACTACAAGAGAACAGACTTAGTTTTGTCTGGAAGTTTGCTGACAGCTGCTGCCCCTGGGAAATCAGGAGACGGTGAGGCTTACGGACAGTGGTCTCCCTTTCTAAGGACGGGCTTTATTCCCAGGGGGTTGAGCACCACTCCAGGGGGTAGCCTGCAGAAACCACAGGGCTCTAAGGCTTAGTCCAAAGCAAAATTACTTCGGGGCTTTGACAGGAAGATTTGACAGGAATAGCTAGCAGAAAAGGAAGAAACCAAAGGTTTTGTGAAATGCTATTAAAATCCTCAGTGAGGAAAGCAGAAATTCAGGCAGAAGGTTGTAAGATTCAGCCCTGGTGATCTGGGAGAAGGTGTGTCCTGTATGGTCTAGTCTCTCAGGGTAATTAAAAGGTAGTAAGTTCCCTTTCTTCCACCCCAACAAAAGGCAGGCAGGTTACCTGTAGAAGAATTGGACTAAATAATGCGGTATTTTCCCTTGAGTATACATTTTTTTTTATTACAAAGGCATAGTTACTGTTGATCAGTAGCCTCTTTTGTCTCTCTTATCACGTATCCTTTGAGGACAGCTTAGCAGAAAGTGTATTATAAGGTGACTCAGAAATGATGTGTGGTAGACGCATGCTGCATGTGTTGGGGAGAGGAGTGTTCAGGGAAGGGGAGGAACCCAATTGAACTCTTTTGTAAAATGCCAGGGAAATTTATATGAGTGCTCTTTAATGCCAACCATGAAAATAAACCCAGTGGGGACAGAGATAATCCAGAATGAGCTGGCTGCGTCTTTATGCAACTGGAAACAAGTGAGCTATGTCTTCTTGGCTAACTGCTATGCTTCTGCTGTCGCTTTAATGACTCAAGTAGTATTTTATGTTCTGTCTACTGGACAGGGTTTATTCTGTGGCTTCTTTTGGCCACTCTGAGGGCAAACTTTCTCTTTTCACCTAGGAATTGGTGGATGTCCCAGCACATATAAGTCTGCCTCTTCCATCATGGTGGTTTAGAAGCAGAAAGATGTTGATGCTCTGCACAAATCCCTATTCTGTTGTGGTGGGTGGAAATTTCATGAAAACTTCTGATAATGGATGTTCTGTACCTGCTCCCTCCCAGAGGCACCCCGTCTCCCCTGAACATGTGCCCCTTGAGCTCAGCCCTCTCGCACACGTATCAGGTTACACACTTGATGTTTCTCGCACCAACAGGTGAGGCGGCACTGCCACCTTCGGCTCCCTGCTGCAATATTTTCCACCTGCTTCATCTTACAAATTGCAAGAATGATGGCTCTTTCAAGGAGGAGGAGCAAGTGTACACCCTCAGCTGTGTCCCTGCTTAATTCTGCCGGATCCTCAAATGGCTACTTAGGGTTTGTGGCTTCATGGAATGGCACAAAGGATCTCTTGTGGGTTTCACTGCTTCCCTGGGCAGTTTTAACCAGCCAAGGCTCCCAGGAGCAGCTGCTAATTTGCCCTTTGTTTGCAAAAAGGTCCTCGGCTGCCACTGATGCAGGTGTTCTTGGCCTGACCTTTCACAAGGACCCTCAGGAGTCTTTCAAGGGAGGGAAGAATTAAACAGCATACCACACGCACGCATGCTTGTCACATAAAAGGGAACAGGAATGGAAAGAGCTCTGGAGAAGTAGCATCTACGCTTGCACTTTGGCTTGGATGCCATGTATTGATTCTTGAGCACGAACAGTCCCAGTCGTGCACGCAAATACCAACAGGGAGAAACCTGCCAAGGTGTGGGCCGCTCCTCTCAGGGAAGCAGGTCTTTTCTGTGCACATATAGCTCTGCACCTTTTAAAAGAAAAGAGGACCCCATGACGAGCCTTAGAAAGGAAATCCACGTCATTTAAAAGCCTGAATAAAGAGAGAGAAGCTAGCAGTTTGCTTTCCTGTCACTAATTTATCATTCCTATTGTTAGGAGAAAATAACAAAGGATGTCACATTCCCATAGGGAGGTGGTGGCATCCTGGAGGGCTATAAAGACCATAACTTTGTGTCTGTGCAATGTTTCATCCAATAATCTCTAAGTATTAGTTATTAAAATGGAGCTATGCCCACCCGACATTCTGATTTATAGGCCCCTTTGACACACTGATGGCTTTCTCCAGTTCGTGTTTCTGAGGCAAAGATTGCCGAGTGGATAAAGCCATTGATTAGAACTGCATCCCTAAGGCAGCTGTCGGTGGAATCAGCTAGTCATAAGAATAAAATGCATCAGTTATAATCCCTGAGCAGTCTTTCACATTCTGCAGGATTTAAAAGTTTCATTATTTTTCAGTGTTATCAAGGGTTCAATTCTTTTTAAAGATCACACTGGTTAGGTGTGCTTTGTTACACACAAAAAACACAACACAAAACAAAGCCAAAAAACCCCACTGAATTATTTAAAAACTGATGTAGGAAACCTAGTAAACTTGAACTTTACCATCATGGACAATAGTGTTTGTTTAACTCGTTTCACAATTTAATTCTATAATTTCTTTTATTAATAAAATCAAATTTTCCTAGTCACTTTGTTTCTCAGGGCCTCTATTTCTTTGCTACAAAATGAAATTAAACTAAATCATTATTAATTTGCTTTCCAGATCTAAAATATTTGATATGCATGATATTAAGCTTAACCTCAGGAAAAAGAATTTCCAAATGTCAAAAGCTAGTTCATAGTGTACCAGGCCAGATGTGTCTTTTGTAATGCAAGAATCAAAGCTATATGCTCTCTGGGAGAGGTTTGGCCCCACAAGTCAGCTGCCTACATCTGACATCAGAGTGCCTGGGTTCGATTCTCAGCTCCTGCTAGTGACTCTAGCTTCCTGCCAATGTGGAGCCTGGGATGCAGTAGTGATGGTCCAAGTGGGCAGGTCCCTGACATCCACATGGGAGACCTGGGTTGTGTTCCTGGCCTCTGCCCTGGCCCATTTCCAGCCATTGTGGGCATTTCAGAAGTAAACCAGCAGGTGGGCTTTCTTCTCTCTTCTCAAACGAAAACAGCAACAACAAAAGGGCAACTTAATAGGACCTGAATTGCCTAAGAGAACATTTTCATTCATTCAATTCAAACAGACAAAATTGAGAAACAATACAAGGGGCGGCATTTACTTGGAAGGGCTACATCTGACAGAGTCTAGACTTTTTTTTAATATTTGAAAGAATGTCATGACTTTTTGGAAGAAATAGTGATAATAATCAGATATTCACTTATAGTGCTGGGGCAGTGCTGACATTCAGTAAATGTAAATAATAATAAGAACTAGTAATTTGTTCGTCTCATAAACCGAAAGGGCAGTGAGTAAGTGAGATACCAAGACCAATATCGGAACCGTTAATCAATATGATAGAAACATGGTGAGTTGCCCAGTAAAGAAGTCCTTGATTATCTGGATCCCCACGCCTTCAAGACTGTACTAATTTACCCATTTTCAGAGCAGTTGCATTGGACAAAATACAGTCTTAAAAAATCAATTTTAAAATAGTCTGAAGCTGTTACACTTTTAGCACTCTTCTGAAATTCTGATCTCATTGAAGGAATCTAAATGATGCATATATTGAACACATTTATAGGCTCAATTCTCCAGGAAATATCTAACCTTTCTTCTTTTTTCACCCAGTTTCACAATTTTATGTGGAGGAAAGTGTAAGCTGTCCATGAGTACTCTCATTTTGTGCCCTGGATTTGAAATCATTCCCAAACTGCTTTTTCAAATAATCATTACTAGAAACTTAAGGGGCAGTAAGTGAGCACCAGGCCTCAGAGCCAGTTACCTCTGGGACTGTGGTCTCTTCAATCAACAAAGGAAATTTGCTCTTAACTGTATAATCACTGACTTTTTGTACAGACTCTATTTTTAGTAAAAGAGAGCCGTGAGTACAGGCAAACTGTTCATCTTAGTCGTTCCTTCGAATTTGCCTTTTGGTCACAAATGCCAATGTGTCTTCTTCCATCTATGCTGGGTCATGTCACAGTATTTGGGGGTTCAAACACTGAGCATAAGCGGTTAACCAAAAATTTTAGCAAGAAAAACTGCTAAATTTAGCTAAGATTTTAAAATGCAGTTTATTGGCCATAGGGAGATGAATGTTTTTTCAGTTTTTGATACTAAGATTACAATTTGAAGTCATTGCCATGGAATTAGGTGCTTAATAGCTACAACAGTGTTGGAAAGTTCAGCACAGATTCAAATACACAGATGACATGTTTTAGATTGGACAAATTAAGGACAAAGTTTGAATTAAAACATGGAAATGAGTATGTCTCCAGGAAGCCAATCCACCAAGCAGCAAAAGCACATCTGTAGAATTTGGAGAATACAACACAGCTACACGCTTACACTTTTCAACATTACAGGGACAGGAATTCTTTGTCTTTTCTGCCCTCCATGTTCTTTGTGTCTAGGAAATAGTTACGTCCTATACACTGTGCAGATCATGCTGCTACTGGAAGGTTCTATGTGGAGCTGATCTTTTGGGCACATTGCTTTGTTTTCTGGAGTTATGACATAACACTGATTTCAATGTGGTGTTAGTCATATAATATATAGTCTGCTGTATGTGTGTTTTAATAAGTCCTAACTCAAAAAGCCCAAGTATAGCTGTTTTGGCATTCAAGGTAGGGTGTGGCCAGTTTTTATTGAAGAGCTATATTTGTTTCTTTTTTTAAAGGTTTATTTATTTGTTTATTTGAAAGGCAGAGTTACAAAGAGGGGGAGAGAAATAGTCTATCATCTATCTATCTATCTATCTATCTATCTATCTATCTCTTTCATTTGCTGGTTCACTTCCTGAAAGGCCACAATGGTCGGGGCTGGGCCAGGTTGAAGCCAGGAGCCAGGAACTCTATCTGGGTCTCTCATGGGTGCAGGGGCCTGAGGACTTGGGCTGTTGCTACTTAGCAGGGAGTTGGAATGCAAGTGGTGCATTAGCAGACAGCTGGGTCGGAAGTGGAACAGCCAGGACTTGAACTGGCACCCATATGGGATGCCACCATTATAGGCTGCAGGTTAACCCTGTGCATGACAACGCTGGACCCCAGAGTCCTATTTCTAAAGAAGCGAAAGTGAAGTCTCTTCATGAGCAAATGAATATCAGATCTGACAAGTGTATTCATCGAACAATTATATCATGCTAGTCTCCCCTAACCATTGTAAGTAAGTGATTTCCTTTATTTCTCACCCAGTTGAAGAGCACGTGCTTTAAAACCACTAGGCATGAGTTTGAACCCCAGCTTCACCACTTGCTTACTAAACTTCAGGGAATACACAAGCATCTTGTACTCTCAACATCCTCATCTACAAATTGGCAGTAAGTGCAGAGAAAGATGTTTGCAAGTGTATTCAGGGTTTATTAAGTGAGGAAACAGACTTGGAGTGGCTACAAAATGTGTCCAAGATCACACAGGTGGTAGATGATGATTACCAACTGAGATTTGGACAGTGTATGTGTATGACTCCAAACTTATTTTCTCAATGACTATATGGGGTTACTCTCGAATACAAATTATTGCCCTACCCATTGTCATAACTGTTACCCCACTGAAGCTCTCACTTTAAGAGCAACATTTCCACTGAGGGCTGCACTTGCATTATTTTTTTAAATAGTCATCTAGCAGTGCCTTGAGAGCTGAGATTTCTAATATCTTGCAGGCTGATAAAGGATCTTATCTGGCTTAAGAAAGGTCCAGTTCCTTACTCTTAGTTCCTGCCTCTTAAAATGCTCCTTAAAAAGTATCCTTGTGGGCTGCTTGCTAAGGAGTCTGCATCCACTTCTTTGGATTCTTTTAGCTTCCACTTTGTTTTTGATCACCCTCGATTCAGTGTTCACTCACTATATGGAGAATTCCTACCGTTCTGGCTGCAATTTCACACCTGTCAGTTCAATGTGACAAACAGAAGACCATGTCAGGCCCTCAGCAGCAGTACGTGCCTTTAAGTTCCCCAACAGTTGTTTTTTAAAATGTCAGATTTACAATTCTTTTCAATTTCTAGTCATATATCTCCCCTCTTCCTCCCCCAACATCTGCAGAACATCCATGGCAAACAAAACAAAAAACAACCTTGACAAATTGTGATTTCCCTTTACTAGATGTTTTATTTCTTTCCCCTTCCTTAACTGAGGGATGAGATGAGAGATAATCTCCGTGATTCATCCTGGGAGGAGGGAAATTTCCTTTGGTGTTTCAGACTTAAACAGGTCTGTGTATGTTTGCTTTTGTTTGGAGATCTTTATTTAATTTAGAAATGCCTGGAGAGCTGAGATTTCTAATATCTTTTCAGCTAATAAAGGAAGGATGTCATATGGCTTAAGAAAGGCCTGGTTACTGTATCTCTTTTTGATTCATCTGGTGCATGAAAAGCTGTTGCATTTGCATGAAAAGCTGAGAAGTTTGCCAGCTGCAAAAGCCCGCAAGGTACACGAGGACATCAGCTGCGTAAACCTTTACAACACTCATGTGCAATTTGATGAGGACAAAAAAGCGTGGAGATGAGTCTTCCCTTTTACGGAGTGGGTAGGAAGGCTTAGGTTTTAACTTGGCAGAGCAGACGCATTTAGAAAAAGAAGGCTCCTTCGGCTTCAGTCCCGATTTCTAAATCTCTCTTGGGGGATGAAGGCTCTCCCTGTGTGCCTTGCACAATCAAACTGTTGGTTATAGCCTCTCTCCTCCATGGCTTTGAAACCCTGTCCTATTCACATGGTCACAAGGAGACAGCCCTGGGGCGGGGAAGGCCATCACTTCCTGGGCTCTGTGCTGGCTGGGTTCCACTGGGCGGAAGGGCTTCCAGCACTAGGAAGGGCTCCCCTTGGATTCACAAATGCCCGCCACTTGGCGGGATCACAGTCCCACACAATCTCCCTGTCCCCAAATAGCCTCTTGCTACATTAATTGCATCATTGATGCATTAAAAACATTAAGTGATCTTTTTATTCTAAGGCAACCAGTTGAAGGAGAAAACATTCAAGAATAGCCTTTGTGATGACAACCGATAACACTCCTTTTATTTTCCCTTATACTTGTGGTCTCTCTGAGCATTGCGGGCATAGCTGATGTTTTTAAAGAGGTATGCTCTGTGTTTTTAGTGTACCATTTGCTAGAAAAGAGCAAGATTGCTTTCTCAAAACAACAACAACAACAACAAAGTAAAAGAACAAAACTAGTTCATCCTTAATGAAATCAATCTTCTATTTGGTTAGTCTTTAAAGCATTGATAGGGCTAGTTTGAACCATTATGAGTTTGAAGTGTTGGTTAAAAAAAAAAATCTCACATGATTACCTCATTCCCACAAAGAGTTAATACACAGCCACTGAATTAATTTGCCCCGTCCAGCTAACAGCTGCAGCTGAGAGCTCCAAGTTCCTAACGCAAAGGGACAAATGTATTTGACTAGGGTGGGTGCGTGCACCTGCACATCTTCCCACTCTATTTGTGTGCATCCAGGTGCTCACTGACAAACGACCTCTGCTGGCACCTGCTTTGGACTTAGACGACGGTAACCTGGGAAATTCCCACTCCCATGGGCAGATTTCACATTCGCCTCTTGCAGGGAGACAAGTGACAATGTCTGGCGTGTGTGATCCCCGACAGGCAGGACAGATGCAGAAAGGATTGTGGGAGCCGGGAGCCCGGAGCTCCTGACTGTTTGGGAGGCCCGGCCCGCGTGTGAGGAGGCGCAGGCGACACTGACCTGGAAGATGAGCACTTTGAAGTGGTTGCGCCGCAGGAGCTGGGCGTGGTTGTTCTCCAGGCGCTTCACCTGCGCGCACTGCCGGTCCATGCGCTCCTTGACGGCGCGCGTGTGGGCGCTGACCTTGCGGGACTTCTCCAGCAGCTTGCTTACTGTGTTGCTGGTGGAGGCCTGGTACTTGGAGAGCTTAGTCAGGTCGTTCTGGATGCCCTTCACCGAGTCCTCCAGGCTGATCTGCCGCTGCTCCATCTTGTGCTGGTTGTCTTGCACGGTGTCCAGCATGTTCACCAGCTTGTCCAGGAGCGTGAGCACCGTGACCGCGTTCACCTGCGAGTTGTCACGGATGGCTTCTTCTGTACTCCCTAAATTCAGGCTGGGGCTCGGCGTGGAGGAGGGCATGGGGCTGGGGCTTGCTGGCTTCTCCTGTCGCATGTCAGAACCCGGGTGCTGGGACTTTTCGGCTTGTGCTGCGTCCTCTCCCATGGCTAGGCAGGAGGGTAACTTGCTTTCCCGCTGGGGGCTTCTTGCTCAGGCGACACGGGCGGCAGTGAGGGTGCAGAAGGAGGCCCTCTGATTTGAGCTCAAAGCACAGCTCTCCAGGGCTGGCAGAGGTTCAGACAGGCAACAACTGGCTAAGCTGATCAGGGGAATTGCATTCCAGCTGCTCTTAAAAGCCCTACTCCACCCAGTGGGAGGCGAAGGTTACAGGAGCCGAGAGCCACTCAGGGTTCAGAAGCACGCACACACTTCCTCGCTGCCTTCTCTTCCTTCACACAGGGCTGCGGATTTAGCTATCTCTTTCCTATGCCCCTTCCCTTTTTAAAATAAGTTCAATACCATATTTCAATCATGACTTCATCTAGAGGCAGAGAAAAACATGCTAACTTGGACCAGCTCCATGGCTTCCAATTGGCTGAAGCCCGTAAACTTTTTCTCTGGCTGCTATGCTACAGACGAAACAGAGTGCCTGTTTTTTTTCCTGGATACAAGCTATTGTAAGGGAAAGTGTTGTTTGCATTTGCCCTAGAACCGACTGATGCCTTGCAGAACACCGGGAGTCCTAACGGGAGGGGTGGGGTCTAAAGGGTACTGGCAGCCAAGTGTGTACTGTTCCTTTCTCATTTGCAGAGGAATGGAAGCAACCCGGAGAGTAACAAGGAAAACAGCCCAATTCTTATTACTCTCTCATTTGGACAAACAAAATAAGAGATTGAGCTTTGGGATGGTTGCTGCTACTGCACATTCTTACCGTGTAATAGAGGGAAAGTTTTTGACATTGACTTAAAAAAATATCTAGAGGGCTTTTCTCTCTCTCTCTCTCTCTCTCTCTCTCTCTCTGATAAGTGAGATTGAAAGAGGAAAGATGAAAAAGTGTGATCTCTTTAAAAACCTACTATGCAGGTTTGTTTTAGCTAATTTTAAATGTGTACTGAGACATTTTCCCAGATGCTCATCTCTGCCCAGCATTGATCGCCACGTGCCCAGAAGGGTGACTCGGGCAGCTGAGTTGTTGTTTCTGAAGCGGTTCTAACGTTTGACATTTCCACATTCCTGCTCAGTGATGTGGCACACCTGTTCTCCAACCTGGCCTTCCTCAGCTGAGCCCCTGGGACTGGGAGCTTATTTCCTAAAACGACTTTACATGCTTGACTTGGTTTTAAATGTATCCAGCCTTTGAAAGAGCTTTCAGGAAGAGGTTTGTCATAGGACTTCTATGAACAGTTCTGAGAAGAGCAAACGCCAGCTCACGTTGGGTCAGGGACTGACAATGGGATGGTGGCCTTCCTCAGTATCAGCCGGTCAATCAGCAGGCCTTTGGTTGTCATGTTGATTGAATCATAAGGATTCCAGCAAAGCTTAATCCAAGACCCTACCCTCAAGGAGTACACCTGCTAGTTAGCAATGAGTGAAAGATATTTATAGAGGCCCCCAATTCTCTCACATAATTAGTGCCCGCCAAACCTACTTCAACTGAATCCTTTCAAAAGGAGGAAGCAAAAAGAAGTAAAATGAGAATTATTAAAATTCATTGGCATAATCAACAATGTTCAGATGGTCAACAATGTGTTAAATATTAGAACAAAGGATGCATCAGGTGTTGATTTTGGGAAACATAATTTTCTAACAAAATTATATGGTATCATGATATAATATTCTTTTACATTTGACTTCTGTGGGCAAATGACAAAAAGTGTCATTATGGCAGAAATATTTGAGGGTTTCATCAATTTTCCAAGAGCCTCTCTTAAATTTTAACATTCAAATCATTCCCTTTTGAAGTACTTCTTATGCCGTCATCCATGTGGATGGTTTCTTCCTCAAATGTTAACTATTCCAGCTGCAGATTCTAATTTGTCAAAGGAGTTGCCTGCGACTGAAGGGCTTCTCTAACATTACCTTCATCAGCTTCGTGATTTCCTGCACATTTTGCAAGATTTGCGATTTCACATTATATTCACTGGGCCCTGGTTTTGCATTGATTTGCACTGATTTAGCATTGCATTGTTGGATATTTACAATCAACTGGATGAGTAGAGACACTAAAGTGATGGGGTGTGAGGTGGGAGAGTAGAGAGGCTCCTTGTTAAACAAGAAGGAAGATTTACATGTGGACTTGTTTATTATTAAAATTAATTTTTATTAGCACAATACAACAGTTATATATTTCTGTGTAACAAGTCAGCCTGAAATTCAGTTGCTTAAAGTAACAATCATTTATCTTGTTGACTCATGATTCTGTGGTTGGCTGGGCAGGGCTCAGTTGGGTGAGTCATCCCTGCTGGGCACACACACTGGTGTGGTTTGGGATAAAGTCTCCAAGATTGCCTCCTTCATATGTCTGGGTCATTAGCTGGGAAAGCTACAACACTGGATGACTCTCTGCCTGATCTCTCTAATAGGGATACCAAGTGTCTTTGCATGGTGCCTCATGGTTCCAACGGCATAGAAACAAAAGCTGCATTATCACTTAAGCCTAGGCTCTGGGACTCTCCTCTTGTCACTTCTCCCCCTTCTGTGCTCCAGGCAGGTCCCAGGCCAAGCTCAGATTCATGGGCATGGGAAACAGACCCCACCTCTTTATGGGAGGAGCAGCAACATCTCATGACAAAGCATTGAGCACATGGGGGTGGTCATCGTAGCCATCTTTGGAACCATCTGCCATAACATGGATATGTTTTTCTTTCAAGACTATCACAGGTAAAGGTGAAGGCTCTTTCTTTGCCCTCTTGTCAGAGGTGACCATTTTTGCAAACTTGGAGTATTCTTTGATGGTTACATTTATGAGTGATAAATTTGTGAATTTTTTTTAAATGTTATGGTACAATTTCCTTTGTTGGAAACTATGAGGACCATCCTGTCCTGTACAAGATAGAAGGTAACTGAGTAATAGACTGACATACTCTAAGGGCAGCAGGAGTTTATAAAGGGAATGCATTAAAGACATTAAAAACAGCTCACTATTGGTAAGTGAAAATTTGAGATAACTTGAGCAATCGAAGTCAGTGTTTAGTTACTCTAAAGTAAGCCCTATTGCTATCTGAGAGAAGTCAGTGAAATTCAGCAATCGTTTCTTAAACTTTTTAAAAAATTAAGTTTAGCTCTTAAATACCATGAAGATCCTTGAGTTTCGATGGTACAGTGGCGGATAAGAAGCTCTTGGAGGGGTTTGAACATGTGAAAGTGACATATTGAAAACTGATAAGCGCAGCAACAACATGCAGGAAGGGGTCATTTGCTTGGTAACATTTGCCGAATGAGAAGAAAGTGCCAGGCCCTGGGGATACAATGGTGACAGCACATGCTTGCTGTCTTTCAAAGCTCTCACTCCAGTGGGAGAATCAGGCAGGTGGACAAGTCCCAGGTGTAGGTACAGGGCGGGGCGCTGAGAGAGACTAAGTGTTGCTGCTGGGGCCCAGCATCATCAGGGGTTTAGTCCTGACAGGGAGTGAGTAGGACCCTCAATCCTTCAGACTGGCCACCAGCTGCCTGTTGCTACCTCAGGGGACACAGAGGTCACTCCAGGAAAAGGTCTACTTTGCCACCAGCTAAGGCATTGTTCTGAAGCTCCATGTGGCTTCACATTCCAAGCCATTAATAAACTTGAAGTCTTGGCTAACCCTTTAGCATAAATCTTAGACCAATTTCCATCTTAGTTGGCTTTTTCTTTGTAGGCTCCATGCAGTAATCCTGGCACACTTCGTCTTAGCTTTAGAAAAGAATGGAAAAAAGAAGAAAGGAAATCCCTCTTCAGTGGTTCAAAGAACAAAGAAGGCTAAGCTGGCTATTCCATAAGCCTTCCTGTGGGTTCCAGCTTGGAGTTGGAAAGCCTTTCAAAGAACCGGTTACTTCTTAGCCGGAGTCAGTTCTAGGATTGTATGAGTATATTAATCACATTACCAAAAGAAAAGTAACGTCATGATGCAGCCTTGTGTCGCATGTCACTAAGTTTGGGGTAGTTTTTGATGCAATGATAGATACCTAGGAACAAGTAGCTTGTGATTAAAATACAGTTCCTTCAAAATTACTGTCAACAGCCTAGGTTTGTTCCCAGAACTCTGTTTAATACTTCATGTCATCAACAGGAGTCACTGTGCACTTACTCCCCATGTAGGACCTTCCGTCCTTAATGAGTTGTACTATGAGAATTAACTTCTAAACTTGTTCTCAAACTGTACTCTATATGTTGCATGTGTGTGTGTGTGTAGGTGCAAACTGTTGAAATCTGTACTTAACATAGAGTTGGTTCTCTGTATATAAAATTAAACAAAAAATGAACAAAACAAAACAAAATACTTCATGTCCATATTACTGCTCTCTAAACTTACCTCCAGAGGTCACATTATGCAACAAAATAATGGACCTTAAGAAAAAAGGAACTCTGAGCTTAGAAGTAAAGCTGGCTGGATAAATCATACTCCAGGATAAAATGAATTGGCAGCAAGGAACGTGGGAGTCGAAGGGTCCTCTGGCTCCACCTGCATGAACTCCACACTGAGTTTTGCAGTGACCATAGACAGAAAGGGAGAGTGCAGCCTGCAGTAAGCCTGGAGGCTTTTCCTCAACCTTTGCTGAGGCAATGGAGACTTGTGTTCTCTTCATTAGAAATATTACTGATGAAAAGCACCTTATTATAAGATGATAATATTTTCCAACCAAGTCTTCCTATAACCCATCCATGTCGTGAGTGTGAAATAAAGCTTTTTCATAATAACACATTTTTAATGAGCTTGTGGAAGATCCCTTATAGGCATAGATTTCAATACTTTTGCACCAAAATAAGCTTTTTTAAAATTTAATTTCCCCATGGGCTTTTTGGAATACCCTCATATTTGATAGCATGAACTTTCAAACCAGACTTCCCAGGTTCAAACCCCAGCACACTGCACAATCTTGGACACATTGCTTTTCGTTTATAGGCCCCAGGTTCTTATTATAAAATGAGGATAATAGTAAGTTGTATCCTTATTGTCATGAATTGTTATGAAGATTAAATGAGTTAATTTGGTAAAATGTACTTGGACTGGTGTCTGGAGCCTGGGAAGTAGCATACGTGTTAAATACAGAAAAAACCTTATTAGTTAAATATCTGTCTGGTTCAACCTCTTAGTCCTGATGATGTGATTTCATCTAAAAATATGCTGATCTCTTGATTGTACGTGCCACATTGTAAGCCAGTACCCCTTCTGCTTTCCCTTTCTACCTTGTTCATTCATGGAGTGCCATGTGGCATACCGTGGGGAAACGTACAGGGTTGCCTCAACCTTACTTGCAGGTCAATTTATCAACTGATTTGAGTAGCTATGGGCTCAGCACAGACTCAGACC